TGAGAGCTCAAAGAACACCCGAGTCATCATTTCTGCTGTATTTGAAGTATTGGATTACAACCATCTGATACTCATTTGCTGCCTACTACTGCGGGAGAAAAAAAAAGAGGAGGGAAGGAGAGGCAGAGAGAGGGGAGAGATGGAGGGAAACTGAAAGACAAAGGAGGGAAGAAAAAGAGAAGGAGGCAGAGAGAAATGGAGAAAATGAGAAGGAGGAAGAGAAATGAAGGGAATGGTAGTAAAGACAGCGTGATGAATGTGAAGAAAGTCAGACAAATAGAGAGCGAAGGAGAGAGAGAGAGAGAGAGAGAGAGAGAGAGAGAGAGAGAGAGAGAGAGAGAGAAAAGGAATGGAAGTGAGATGAAGAGACAAAGACTAAAGACAAAGACGGACAGAGCAAAGGAAATGAAATAAAGTGGAAAGACGGAGAGAAAGAGGGGGACAGAAAGATGGAAGAAGAGCGGGAAGAGAGACGAGTGCAGCATGAAAATCAATAGCAGTTTAGAAAGCGACTCATCTCTAATGAGCTGCGCTGAAGATAATTTACTTAGAATTATTGTCCCATTTATCAGATCAATCCTGAACATTTCGGAGTCGCACAGCTATTTGTGTGTGTGTGTGTGTGTGTGTGTGTGTGTGTGTGTGTGTGTGTGTGTGTGTGTGTGTGTGATGTTTTGGAATTCCTAGAAATACACAGCTGCCTAATTGCATTTTTATATGACATTTATATTGCAAAAATAAAAATAACTTAAAAATGCATATTAATTCTCATGCACCGCTTTTTGACATGTGTTATGTTGTTTATTCTTACTGTTTGAATATTGGACATTGTGCCATTATCTGTTATATCATGCAGAATATATAGAGCATATGCATTCATTTTATTTTTACCCTTAAACAAAATAAAACCATGAAAAGAATAATATTTAGACAGTATCTCTGCTGTAGCTCGCATTTGGAAAACATTAACATAATACTGTACATATGTATAGAATAAAGTGTTTGTCTTTTATTTTCTGCCCTCTTTAACAGGCCTTTTATTTATTTACTTAACCCACTTCTTGTGTAAATAACAATATGTTCTGAACTAACATGTCTGATAAAATGAATATTGAAGAAATTACTGGTTAGGGAAATTAAATATCTTTGATGTGGAAGTTATAGTTTTATTTTATTTAATTAATTAGTCAGTCGGGAATTAGGGCCGATTTGACAAGAGATTTTTAAAGGGATTAAATTTTTTAAAGATCCCCTCCAAATATTTCCATACATATAAAAAATACTCTAAAATACTGCTTGGAAAGATAATTTCTGAGTCTGATGTGTTTTTTTCAACAAAAAGGTTTTATTCACATCACACTTGTGTCACATATTGGACAACAACTAGCTGTGATGTCACAATGTACACGTCTTAAACTTTCCCCCTTCAGCAGATGAACGTGAAAACAACAGTCTACTGTCAAACTCTGCATCAAGCTCAAATCAGCAGAGCTTCTGTTCAGCCGTCTCGTCTATAAAAAGTGGTCCTTGACAGCACGTTTGAGTCTCATTGTGCCGGATAGTCGTTCACACTGACCATGAAAATAGCAGGAGGTCTTTAGCGGCGTCTGGCCGATAGATAAATCAGCGGCATGATGTCACACCTGCCATCAAACCATTAAAACCGTGGCCATCAATTCTCACAGCAGAAGAGGCTTATAAATACAGCGAGGACAGACAGACGGACACATCATGTCCCACTAAAAGATGGTAAAACTAGATGTACCTCCCCTCCCTCCCTCTCTCCCTCTCCCTCTCCCTCGCTCCCCCTCTCTCCCCCACTCTCTCTCCCTCTCCTGCCATGATGACAGCATGTTTGTGAAAAATACCTCGAGGATGACTAAGACGGCAGAAGTTGCCCTGTGTTTGTGTGTGTTTGTGCCAGCAGCCTAAAGGCTTCGCCTGACTTCACCTTTTGTCGAGGACGTAATTTAATAGTAGTTTTTTAAACAGACTTCACTCTCTAAGTGTGCAGTAATGAGAATATGAACGTGTGCTCACTCGCTTTAAAGTTAGAAACCTGCTCATCACAAACGCTACACCTCCTATTTTTGAACGAAAACAAAAAAGGTCACTCAGGATCATTTGCACTTAGTGAACCTCTGAGAGGAGTGAAGGTGGTTGATAAGTTAATAATGATAAAATGTATCTTACTTACAAGTTACCTTGAAGATTAAGCTTTTAAATACCTGAGCATATAAAGCAGATGCAGTGTTATACAGTAAATGAAACCACCCAATAGTATGTACATTTTCTGCTACCTTTACAACATTAAAGTTATATCAATAATCCAGTAGTATAAAATATACTAACATAGTTCTGTCAGAGACTGGCTACTTTTACTTTTATACTTTACTTTATACATTTGAATGCAGCACTAATACTTGTAATTGGCTGAGAGGTACCTATCTGAAAACTGCGCATCAGATGCATTCGAAGAGAGAAGTGTGGTTTGGAAATG